GTCCTTTATGAAGGCATAGAGCCTTTACTACATGAAAATAAAAATTAATGAATACACTGTGTACAGTATTTTACCTGATAAGACAGACCTCAGAAAAATACTTTGAGGCATAAAGCTGTCTTTATCATGAAAATTAATTAACTAAGGATTTTTTTTTGCCCTGCCAGGGTGTGGCCGAGTTATCCGGAGTGCCGAGTTTTCGAGGCTCTACTGTACTAATAAATTTGTTGAGTTTAAAATTTGTAAATGATTTTAATAATTACATAACAGTATTTTTGGGCCAAATATATCTTCTACTAATTTATTGGATTGCACATTTCAGAAGAAAATTTTGAAAAAAGTTGGAAAAAAGCAAGACAAATCTGCAACATCAAGCATTCCAACCCTGTGCCTTACTCACTTGTCCATGCCCACTTGTTACAATTAATTTTTAGAACTCAATATATAACATACATGAAAAAGTTTAAAAAATTTCTCATATTCTACTGCTCATTGTCATGAGTTGTTACCAAGCATTAATGGAAGAGATCTACTAAAACATAAAAATTTTAGCAAAATCAAATGCTGATGCAAAAAGCAATTAAAAGCTTAAATGTCCCCTTCTAAGAAAAAAATAGGAAAACAGATTGTATTCTGTGCAAAGATATAACAATAATTTAATTTTGCTCTGAGATTTCTTAATTCAATGTTCTAAAAGATCAATCTAATGAGATTTTGAGTGGGCTGCAATTTGAAAAAATTGTACACCTATAAATTCCCACTGTCATCCATTCATCAGTCTTTCCTTAATCTCAACAACAGAGTTAGATAGATGTAATCCAATACGAAAACCTTATGGGAAGAAGGCCCAATTAACTATATATAAACTTACCTAAAGTCACATTATTTCAATTAAAAAATTTTCCCTTGAAAGCAGTTAATAGATGATTGGCACAACTCTATTGTTAAAGGAAAAGTATGACATACAGGGGCAAGCCACTACTAATTTGAGGTAAAGAACATATATTTCAAATTAAATTAATTAATTAAAAACATGCATTAAAAGTTGCAGCCTGGCATTGTGAGAATGTCATAATTGCTTGTTACTCAAGATTTTAAGTAGACAGTAAAATAGCATTATACTTATAGCAAAATGGCTGGGGTCCACTTTTAGTAACATTGTTTCCATAACTTTTAAATTAAATTTCTCAGTCTAATTATACCTTTTTCTTCAAAACTACAGAAGAAAAATTTAAAAAGTTTGATAATTTTTTCCTGGCTATTGTAATGCAAATACTGATGCCAAAGGTATGTCAAAATATAGCTACATCTTTCCTGAACTTTTCTCATATAGATTTTTTCCATCTTTTTGACCATACCTCCAGTAAAATGGAATCGATAGCAAGTTGTGATCATACCTATAAAAAATGACCTTGCTCATATCCAAGGCAACTATTGCAAAAATGACTACACGCAAGTAGAAAAACTGGATGCACCACAGACATCTGTAAATGGACAAAGGTGTTGTCAAACTTTGCAAAAGTTAAAGGATGCTTTCCAGAAGAAAAGGCCTGGATTGCTGACCAAAGGCTTGAACTGCTTGCCAACAAAAATGTTAGAACATTCTTTAAGAAATTTATTTGGGAACATGTGGACAACACACCATACAGTCCAGATCATGCTCCCAATAATTTTCATTTCTTCCCAAAGCTGAAGGACATTCTGTAAGATCAACATTCAGAGAATGATGTGGGAGTGGCAGTTTACTTGTTTAAAGAGCTGCAGGAGAGTTTTAAAAAACTGGGTCCCTTTTTTAAAGGAAAGACAGACAGATGGACAACAGTGGGAATTTACAGATCTACAACTTTTTTCAAATTGCAACCCAAAAAAATAAATAAATAGTGTTATTAAACACTGTTTTGTAGTTTATGTTACATTTTTCCTAAAACAGAATTTTATTTTTTGAAAAAGACCACTATATACTGTAAAACCTGTAAACAGCAGAACCTATCTAACATGAAAATGGAAAGTAAAATCAGGCCAAATAACAGAAAATATGGCATCCTCTTCCATGCTCAACAGAAAATTTTCAGCATATTTTTAACAGCTGTGTTTACGTAACAAGATATATGACTTAATTATAACAATTGCAAGATTTAACACCTTACTGCTAATGTGAAATTATATTCTTTGTTCACAAACTTATTTTAAATTGTTTACACCATATTCCGTTTGAATAAAATCAAGTAAAAATGTCTCAGATAAAATGCACATCAGGCATATTATGCTTTTTAAGTTTTGTAAAGAATATATGCTGTACAAACAGTAAAAAATACTCATAGTGTATATGGGGAAAATGCTCCTAAACTTTGAATGTGTAAAATGTGGTTCTGAAAGTTTCGTTTAAGAAATTTTGAACTAAAAGATACAAAACATCCAAGGGCTGCCCAAAAGCTGCTGATGAAATGTAATTGTGGGAAGAAATTGTTAAAAACTGACAAATAACAACTCATGAACATGCAACAAATTTTAGTGTGTCACAGACATGTATTGTTAAAACACTTCATCCACTTAAAATGGTTGTAAAATATGATGATAATTGTGTTCTGTATCCATAAAGTGGGAGGGAAAGAACCAGATCACGTATAATTTTGTCTGATGAAAGTAGGCAGCTCTAAGTTTTATTGAGCTTCAATTTGAAAAAATTGTAGACCTATAAATTCACCATTGTCTGTCCATCTGTCTTTCCTTAATCTCAAGAATGGAATTAGATGAAATTCAAGACCAGATACAGAAACCTTATGTGCAGGAGGCCCTGATTAACTATATATATATGAACTTCTGGTATAGAGTAGAAGTCATGTGAATTCAATTCAAACATTTTCCCCTGAAAGCAGTTAATAGATAACTGGCACAACTGTATTGTTAAAAAAAAAGTATGATGTACAGAGGCAAGCCACTACTAATTTGAGATGGAGAGCATATATTGTAAATTAAATATAAATATGATTAAAAATTGAAGCCTGGTGTTGTGATGATGTCATAATAAATAATTGCTGTAAAAGTTACTTTTTATTTTATTTTTAAATTAGTTACTTATTTTTATCATATTAAACTTTTTTATGGATGACAAAATGAAAGTTAAAATAAAAATATTTGTTATTAACTGAAAATTTGTTCTAGGAAGTGGTGATTGTTCCATCATGTACCAAGGTACCACTGTGTTTGATTAATATGACTTTGATATATACATTAGCATTGAGGGATTAATTAATTGTGTTAATCAAAAGTTGCCTGTAAACCTGTTAATACAGAATTGCTCATCAGTCCCATGGGATTCCATTATAGACAGAATTAACTACATATATATATATATATTGTTGTATTCATTGAAATAATTATTAGTTCACTTAAAAATTAATTTATATAACTCAATACTAAAATCAAATAAATGTATTTATAATTGAATTTATTAAATATTATAAAATTTCAATTACAAAACTAATTTAATTAAATACTAAAGCTTTTACTAACCAGGTTTTGCAAGATGCTGAGCAGATGCCACAGAAGCAGGCAACATACTTGATGAACTAATAATCTGATTTGCTGATGGAACTGAAGGTCTTGGAACTGCTGGAACCCTCATATGTAAAGTCTAATGAATAAAAAAATTGGCAGAATTAACAAAAAAAAAAACAGATTTCAATCAGTTTTTAATTATTTGAGTAAAGATATGGTAACTGTATCAGTAATTGACATTGCACTTATTGCTATTTAGAAATTAAACATTTTAAAATTAGCTAGTTAAAGATTAAAATGGTTCAGTTTTACCATTTACTGTTATGGAATTAAATTAAAAACACACATTGTGAGAATTATTCTGAAAGGTGCCGATGAGGTTTTTATTTTTGAATTTGATTTTGATATATCAATTAGCTGTTGAAATATTACAATTGACAATAAGTTGGTCAAACTTGAACAGTATTTTAGAAAAACCTTTTAGGAAAATATTCTAGATAATTAATGATCTATAAACATTATAAACTACTTTTTAGTTATATTTAAATATCAGTTATATTTTAATCATACACTGCAATTACTGGAATTTTATATACAAATAACAAAAAGTTTTTTTTTTTTTTCAGAAAAATACAGTAAAACCTGTCTGTGGCGACCACCCACGGTTCCTTCAAAAAGTGGTCTTTTAGGCAGGTGGTCGTCCTATACAGGTGGTGCAGTAATACCGTATTTCCGTATGTATTTTGCACACTTTTTAGCTATTTCTACTGAGCAAAACTCGAAGTGAGCAAAAACAAGCAAAATTTTTCAACAATAGGGCTATATTGGTATTGTATTTTATTCTTATCAGATAACTCGATTTACAGGAGTTGTCGTGATTTTATAAGACAGATTTAATACCAATATTTTAAAGATTAATACAATAGTTGCATTTTCTCGNGCCAAACGCGCGTTTATAGATTTTTGTTAAAACGCGCGTTTTGCGGTCACTTTACGGGCGCTTTGAGATATATGTGCTGCCTTATAGCGACGATGGAGGAGCACACACAATCAATTACTTTCTCGTCCATTTCCAAACTGAGCTAGTGCTAAACGCCGAACTAACGCTCGTCGAACGCCGAGCGTTAGTTCGACGAGTAGTTATTTATTATAGTACTTATTTTCGAAACTAATTTGATCAGTTTTAATAATAATAACTTTTGGATTATGTTTCTAAGTCAATAAAGTTTCTTATATCTTTTAATCATTAATTTGATTTTGCATAAAATTATCACTTTACAACAGACAACATCAGAATCAAATTAAAATAGATAGTTATTAAGTTGTGTTAAAATTTGCACTTTTAGATTTTCACTGTAATAAAATTGTAGATACTGTATTTTCTGGCATATAAGATGACTTTTTAACCCAGAAAAATCTTCTTAAAAGTCGGGGGTCATCTTATATGCCAGGTGTCGTCATATATGGCAAGTATATCCCAAACTCTATATTTTAACTGTAAAAGTTGGGGGTCGTCTTATATACCGGAAAGTACAGTATATAATATCTACAATTTGGATGTTGTCTGTTGTAAAGTGATAAATTTATATATTAAACTAGCTGCAAAAACCCACTTCGCTGGGTGTTTATTTGTATGTAATATAGTTTTTTTATATATATATAAAAGACTGTTTTTCTAATCTAGAATCTAGCTGCAAGGACCCGCTTCGCTGGGCAAAAAGTAACGATATTAAAGATTAAGATAATTACATTAAAGCTAATCTTACCCGTTTTCACAGAATGCAAGAATTAGGTCCCCTGTTTCCAGACTAATTAGAGAATTTTTACATTTAGTCAAACGAACTATTTTCAACGTTTCTGGAACGTTTACAATCGTTCTATAATCGAACCAATATTCGAATTTTATGTTCGAATTTAATTCGAACAAATTCGAACAAAACATTCGAAATAGAAAGCCACTTTCAACCACTTGCAGCCTCATATCTCCCGCATTCTTATAGCTATCGAGACGCAACCCCCCTGATGCGCGAATGGAGACTTAGGGCTACTACCACATACAAACACCATTCACGTGCGATGTGTAGTTTTGGCGAAAAAGTGAAATATAGAGACATACATGTCC